CCCCCTGCTGTCTCCTGCAGAGGAAGAGATGTTCAGCAGCAAACGCAGCAGCGGCAAGGCCTCACCCTGCGACAGCAGCAGCAGCAGCAGCAGCAGCAGCAGCAGCAGGAGCAGCAGCAGCAGCAGGTGGAGAGGTGATGGGCACAGGAGACACACGAGCAGCAGCGCAGCAGACTCATACAGAACCAGCAGCAGCAGCAGCAGCAGCAGCAGCAGCAGCAGGGAAGGCCGCAGCAGCACAGGCAGCAGTATGAGGATAGATAGAACACACAAAATGAGCTCAAGCAGCAGCAGCAGCAGCAGCAGCAGCAGCAGCAGCAGGGGAAGCTTCTGCCTGTCTAGAGCGTCTTCATTCGAAGGCAGTGCAGCAGCAGCAGCAGCAGCAGCAGCAGCAGCAGATATGCCTGATTCTATGGATCCCTGGGCGCCGGTAACCTCTGAAGATGCAGCAGCAGCAGCAGCAGCAGCAGCAGGGAGCAGACACAGCAGCAGCCCGAGAGACGGTGGGATGGGGACCCCGCGCGAAGGCAGCAGCGGCTTCCTGCAGCAGCAGCAGCAGCAGCAGCAGCAGCAGCAGGATACACAGGAGTACGGCCGCAGCAGAAGGGGCAGCTTCAGCAGCAACGAGGGTTTTGCTGCTGCTGCTGCTGCTGCTGGGAGGAGAGACCCCGGGGCCCCCCCTTCACGCTCTCAACTGCATCCTCGGCTGCAGCGGCGGCAGCAGCAGCAGCAGCAGCATGAGCCCGACCCCCACCAGCAGCAGCAGCAGCAGCAGCAGCAGCAGCAGCAGCAGCAGCGTCGTCTATGTATTGGCCCCCCTCCCCCTGTCTCCCGCCGCCGCCCCCCTTCTGGCTGTCGTATAATATCTTCATACAAAGGAGACAAACCCCAAACCCTAAATTGTGGTTTACAGCAGCAAAACCCTCATCCTCCTCTCCCCCCCCTCTCTACAGACCCTAGAGATTTCTCTTCCTGGCAAAGACACCAAGAACAACAACCCCACCACCACCACCACCATCACCACCCACCAGACCCACCCCTCTGGTCTTCAGGGGGGGGCCCCCCTCCAATGGGGGCCCCCAGGATCAGAGATCTCTCAGAATACAGGTCCCTCAGACATCCTCCCCATGGGGGCCCCCATGGTGGGGGTCCTCATCATGGGGGGGGCCCCCCTCCTATGGGGGGCCCCCATGGAGGGGGGGGCCCTGGTCTTCATGGTTGCCATTCTAGTGGCTGGGATTCGCTGCGCTCTTCGCCTCATGGGGGGGGAGACAGAGACAGGAGAATGGGGGGGGGGCCCCCCTTGGGATGGGAGAGATGAGGCGATGATGATGAGGGGAATGAGGAGGCCAGCATCGTCGCCAGGGTACAGACACCAGAGACAGCATCCCTGGTAGAGCAGCAGCAGCAGCAGCAGCTGCTGCTGCAGCAGCAGCAGCAGCAGCAGGAGTTGCTGCAGCAGGATCAGTAGCGGGTGCTGCAACAGTAGCAGTAGAAGCTGCAGCAGCAGAAAAAGAAGCAGTAGCAGCTGCTGCAGCAGTAGCAGTAGCAGCAGCAGCAGCAGCAGCAGCAGCAGTAGCTGCTGCTGCAGCAGGAGTAGCCGTAGCAGTAGCAGCAAAATAAAGAAAGGAGACAGCATCTGTTTGTTTGTTTGTTTGTCTCTTTCTGTTTGTCTTTCCTTTTGTTTATATAAAACTATATATATATATATATATATATATAAATATATACATATATATATATATATATATATATATATATATATA